ATAAATAAAATTTTTAAAAAATCATATAGTTAAGATAGTAAATTTTTGTGTGATTTGCTGCGGATAAAACCTAAAACTTTCCGGGCATGGGTGGTAGTACACACCTTTAATCCCAGCACTCAGGAGGCAGAGGCAGGCAGATCTCTGAGTTCGAGGCCAGCCTGGTCTACCTAGTGAGTTCCAGGCCAGCTGGGACTACAGGAGACCCGTCTCAAAAAGACAAAAAGCAACAACAACAACAAAAAACCCTTAAAAGCTGGGGTTGGAGAGATGGTTCAGTGGTTAAGAGCACAGACTGCTTTTACAAAGGACATAGGTTCAATTTCCAGCACCCACATGGCGGCTAACAATTGCCGAAATTCCACTTCAAGGAGATCTGACGCCTTCTTCTGACCTCTGTGGGCATTTCATGACCTGGGTGCACTCACATGCAAGCATGCACATAAAATAAAAATGTTTTTAAAAAAAAAACTTAAAATTGAACAAATTGTTAATAGAGTTGGTAAGTTAAGGGATTTAGGGGCTCCAAAAAGGTGACTAATTGTATTTTCTTCTTTATATTTAACAGAGCCATCATTGTGGCCATATTCTATGCCCAGTGTATGGCTGTATGGTATGGAGTGAGAGAATTGGGGAGGTGGTGGTAAAATCTCTGGTCCCTCCTTTTGAAGCTTTTTTTTTCTCCCCAGTTACAGGAACTGAATTCGGGGCCTTGCACTCCACTACAGAACTAAATCCCCAACAACCACCTCTTTAAATTTTTTATTACTTTTTTTGTGTATGAGTGCTTTGCCTGCACGTATATGGGTGTACCATGCGCATACATTGCCCATGGAGGATAGAGGAAGGCGTCAGATTCCCTGAAACTAGTTAGGTACCATGTGCATACTGGGAACCAAACCTGGATCTCCTGCAAGAGCAGCCAGTGCTCTTAACTTTTGAGTCACCTGTCTGGTCCCCACCCCTTCTTTTTGAGACAGGGTCTGGTTATATAGCCCAAGCTAACCTAGAACCTGTGGGCCTCCTGCCTGTGCCTCTGTCCAGAGTGCTAGGGTTACAGTGTGTACTCCTAGACTTGTCTCTTTTGCAGTTCTCTGCTGCTCAAGCGATCTGAACTTCTGCCTGTGATCTCATGTATCTTAGCACTTTCTGAATGGTAGGAAGAATTCAGGCAATTTCTCCCTAGAGAGCAAAAGTAGGATAGAGGTTTAAAAAAGTCACTGTTGAGCCAGGTATGGTGGCGCATGCCTTTAGTCCCAG